ACTCTCCTCCATAAAACAAGCCCACGAAAGATAGACCGATTTAGAAAGGAATTGATAAAACTGTTTAAAGATCACGAACAAATTTTATCACCACCATCAATGCTAAAGTGTTCAACTTTCTCGATGTAATCTTAGACCTGAATAATGGTTATTATAAACCATACACAAAGGATCTATATATCTGTATAGATACGTTAATAAAGAATCAAACTACTACCATAAAATTATAGATAATTTATATAAATCGGTCCAAGTTAGATTATCCACCAAATCCAGCAATAAGGAATTATTTGATAAGTCTAAAACTAAATATATACAAGCTTTAGAACTAAGCCATCATAAAGTAAATTTAAAGTATTTAGAGATAAAGAAATAATGTAAAAATAAGTAGAAACACCGTGAACGCAACATTATATGGTTTAATCCATCTTTTAACCGTAATGTCAAGAATAATATTGGAAAAAAATTTTTTAAATTTAATTCATAGACTCTTTAACCATTCAAAAACAATGTTAAGATCTTCTATAGATGCGTTAATAATATAAACATATCCATCTCCTATCATAAGAACATTATATTAAGCAAACATATTTCCAACAACAAAAACGTAAATTCTTTTAAAAATAAATGCAACTGCCAAAAAATACGATCTGTCTCTTAAACGATCAATGTATGACTTTTAATATTGTATATCGAGCGAACATACATTCCGATATTAAATTTTATTTTGGCTCCACGGAAAATCCTTGTAAATTTTGTTTTTACCATCATCGAATGATTTTATGTAATTTAAAGTACAAAACAGCACAACTCTCTCTCTCTCTCTCTCTCTCTCTCCCTCTCTCTCTCTCTCCCTAAATATTTCTGGCAATTAAAGAAGGAGGGCACCTCACTATCAATGAACTGGAAATTATATATAGGGTTAAGTTTTATAACAGTAAAGGAAACAAATACAATTTGTCTAGTTGAAAAACTGGTTATCTTTAAAAAAAAAAAAACTTAAATAATCCTAGTTTATTAAGCAAGAGAATTGAATTGATGGTTACATGTTTGCATAAAAATAAATATCTGCTTAAATACGTTGATCCTGATTAATTTTTTTTATTTTCTTTTATGTAAATTACGGTTTATTTTTTTAATGTAAAGTATGATTTATTTATTTGAATATAAATTTATGTTTTATGTTATTGTTTAAATAAGAACATGTAATCTCCGTTTAAACATTAAAAAAAATTAACAAAAAATAAAATATGAATATTCATCATTCAAAAATATTTTTTTTTAAATTTCTTATTTTACGTACATATATTAACCCCGCTTATTTTCATTGGTAAATATAATTTTAAATTTTTAAAATTAAAAAAAAAACTGTAATCCCAACATAATATATAACTAAGTCAACATTGAAATGACCAGATATGCTATAATTCAAATTGTGTAACGGTCAGTTCATACTCAGTACCTAAAGATTACGTTGCGCGAACAGTGAGGGATAATATGTATATTTATTGATATATACTTAATAGTTCTGTTATATTACATCGAGCACTGTTTTATTAATACCGGCACTATGTGCGATAACACACGCACGCATATATATATATATATATATATATATATATATATATATATATATATATATAAAATTCCCAGATGAATTTTGTGGACAAGACAGATTGGTATCAAATGACAATTGGAAAAAATCTTACGAAAACGCGTCGGCAAATGTAAGATTTTTTCCAATTGTCATTTGATATATATATATATATATATATATATATATATATATATATATATATATATATGCTTGAACTTTGTTTTAAGTAAAGTAAATAATTACCAAATATACAAATAAATGTATAACATTTTCTGAAACCCCTTCGAAAATCATTCTTTTTCTATTTAGAGAATTGATCCTTTGTTTATGTCTTAGTTATGTATACATCTTCCCTATTCTGGGGGCGTTAGACTAAATCTATTTATGTTAAATGTCATTCCTTCACTCGACTTCTAAGTAAACTGAAACTCGCTAATTTCTCTTAACATTAATAAACCTTTCTCAAGGTCTGTCAAGAGTTAAAAAGAATAAAAAACAGCTACGCATGCTGTCATAAGAACAAAACCTGTACACATTTAGTAAAACGGATTGAAACAAACAAACAATTAAAAAAAAAAAGAAGATAATCTACTATCTATATTTCTCATGTTGTCTGTCTGTGTGTTTGTCGTGGGCGTTGTTACCTCGCCCAGGCCGCATTTGTCACCCGATTTCGATGCGGTTTTCAACACAAGTTTGCAAATGGCTGCCGTAAGGACGTGACGGAGCCCGATTTTTGAGTTCGGAATCAGGTTCCGAAAAAATCGATAATCGAAAAAATTCTGCTTACAGAAGGAATGATCGCATTTCAACCAAATTTGACACCCTCTTAGAGTCTACCATTAGAAGTGTTGTCCAGAAGTTTCATGACCACAGGCCCCTAAACAGCGCGGAAAATCGATAAAACCCCAAAACCGATACGCCCAGATTGCGTCTGAACCGCATGTCGGTTTTTAGCGAAAACCGAGCGGATTTATGAAGAGGCCATTGGGAGTCATCATGTGAAGTTTCAACTCTGAGCACCCCCCCAAACAGAGTGCAAATCGACAATCGGTCAACCCTTAAAAATGTTTTTTCCGGTTTTTTAAAGCTGATCGTATTGTGTTTATTTTGTTTAATTCTTTTTTCGTAACAGATTTAATGTTTACTATAGAGCTTAGAAAAAGTTGGCAGTGTGAGATAGGCAAGAAGTAAGGCATGTAACAACATCAGCACGGCAAGGGCACTCATCTAAAGGCAAGGAAGGGCAAAAAGATTTTAAGTCAAGTGATAGCGATTGCTGTATGAGTCGTACTATTTTTGAATCAAGCCCGGGCAACGCCGGGTCATGCTTCTAGTAAAAACTAAAACGCTCATCCGCCAAGCAAAAATCACACATTTTTCTATACTCAGATGGCTGAAGCGGGGGAAAATGGACGACATGGTACGATCTATAAATGATGACGCACTTCCTGATCGACTGTGGTGTTTTCGTTATAATTTTATGGGGAACTTATTTATCGAGTAAATGAGTCGATACCTCCAAATAATGAAAATCTAGCTGAACATTATTTGCTTGAGTTGTATTAGCATTATATGTATGTATGATAAAATTATAGTTTTAAGCTATGCTACATTTATGGGTAAAGGTGCTCAATATGCGTGTAAATATAAGAGTGGACACGACGGTCAACACCGAGTGGTGAAAGTCAGTTTCATGCTTGAAAGTTATCTATAGAAAGGTTATGTAGATTGTGTAGTAGTTCGTCTGTTCATATATGTTAGTCAATGGAGCATTATGTGTAGTAAGTTCAATTATGTCCGGTTTATTGTGTTATTCTAATGGCAGTTAGATAGGCGGGAACGGAATATGTATATCGTCCGGTTCAAATTACCTCCCCTGTCTTTTCATCTTTTGAACAGGACTGAAGGTTTATAATTGTTTCCCTGTTTAGGATTGGGTTTCTAGTTCCCTGTAAAATCTGCTTCAACTCTGTACTCCTAACATCTGCGTCTAATCTCTGAAATTTTATTCATTATTTTTCTTATTTCCAACAATAGGAGTAGATAGGTTCGTCCACGTTCTTTTGAACAGGAGTAAAGGTTTATCCTTTGTTTCGTGTCTAGGATTGGGTTCCCGGTCCCTTCCAAAGTCTGTTACTGCTCTGTACTCCTAACGTTTTTTCTTTCCTATGTTAATGTAAGTCCGCACAGTAACCCTCTACCTTGAGTGGGTGTTGGGCCTTGTATTGGGTGAAAATTAACAAAAACAGAAATATATATATATATATATATATATATATATATATATATATATATTAAGCATTTCACCCCAAGCAAGGCGGGATGCCACTAGTACGCAAGGGGTTACAGAGTGGGAGCAAGAGTAAAGAGGCGTGATGGAGAAAGGGATAAAGAGAAGGACGGGGAATAGGTCAGGGCATCTGGAAATGTCGATTGACATTACATTTGAAGTTTTGGAGATTATAGTTATCAGGGAAACAAGTATTAGGAAGGGAATTCCACAGACAGGAGGTGTGTGACATGAAGCTATTGGAGTAGAAAAGACGGCCACATTTAACCGTTTCGATAGTTAAAGGGTGGGACCATGATGACAGCCTAGTAGCACGCTTAAATTCATGCAGTCTGGGAACTAGCGAAAGTAGCTCGTCGGAGCAGTTACCATGAAAGTATTTGTAGAAAAGGCAGAGGGAGACGATGGCACGTCTGTGAGAGAGCGACTATATTGTTAAATTATAAACCCTATGTTCAAATAGTAATTCGAAAACTCAGGTCTGATCCTGGCCAGAAAGCACATTTCCTTTATTAAGATTTTTATGAAATGTGCAGGACGGTAGACATAATACACATACTTAAAAATAAAAGAAATAGAGCATCTATTTCAAACACGAGTATCCACTATAATAACATGTGAACAAAAAAGTCGGATTAAAAATAACTCATATATATATATATATATATATATATATATATATAATAAAAAGGCTTAAACACTAATATTCCATGGTCATAATTTATTTCATTGGATGAATTGGATCGTATTTACAATTCCAATGGAATAAATTATGACCATGGAATATTAGTGTTTAAGCCTTTTATTATATCCTTACTCTGTCCTGACATTGAGTTCTACCTGGATTCTATCCTCTTGGATTTAATTTTATACAAATATATATGTATGTGCATGTATGTATATATATTTATATATTTTATATATATATATGATTGCATATGTATGTGTATATTTATCACTAATATTATCTATCTATCTATCTATCTATCTATATATATATATATATATATATATATATATAATTAAGAAAACAACTTAAAAATCGATATCGTTTATAATTTCGTGAATATGTTATATTCAACTCTTCAGACAGAATCAAATGGAATCAATTCATCTAGACAGATAGATATACCGACCGGCATAAAAAGGAGAAAGTGTAAAAGAGGGAGAGAGAGAGATAATGAAAAAAAGAAGATATATAATAAGAAAAAAGAAAAAGAGAAAAAATATAGGAAAAAATATAAGAAACAATAAGAAGAAAAAAAATTTAAAAATTGAGAAAAGAAAAAAGAGAAGAAAGAAATAAAAGATGAGCCAATAGCAAAAATAAATAGACTGACTTAGAAAAATTTCCTTAAAAGGCTTAAGGAAGATAAAAATATAAAAGGAATAATAAAATATAGATAAAAATATTAAAGGAATAATAAAATATAGATAGAAATATAAAAGGAATAATAAAATGTAGATAGAAATATAAAAGGGATAATAAAATAGAGATAGAAATATAAAATGGATAATAAAATAAAAGAAAGATAGAATATACCGGGTAAGGGAATGTAGAGTTACAGGAAGGAAAAAAGATAGAAAGATAAGAGTTACAAAAATGTATCTAATAAAGCCAGTGAAAATGATGACAGTTTTAGACGGCAATCATCATCCCATAATACTATCATCATCATTTTAAACTAATAATAATAATAACAATATCCAACATTAATAAAATAACATTTTAAAAAATTTATATATATATATTAAAAAATTAATTAAAAAACTATGAAAACTAATATATTTAGATAATTATAATAAACGAATTTAGAATATATAAAAATATTGATAAAGAGAAAATAATAATAATGATAATAGTAATAAATAAGTAAATTATAAATTATAAAATGTAAAATATTAAATAAAAAATTAAGAATTCTGTATGATATGGGCATAGCAAGATAATCACATAAATAATTAAATATATCTACAGAGCTATATATAAAAATGTGTAACAAGTAATACATATACGCAGGCCTATATATGAATACACGTACAAATATATGCTTGTACCCATATAAAATAAGAATCAACATTTTAAGCGTATATATATGTAAAGTAAATGATTTTAGGGAATTCTAAATTAGTTTTTATGTTGACATTTGAAAATAATTTCGTTTCTTTGATTCAGCAGTTGACCAGCATTTTTGTGTTCAATTATTATGATTTTCTCCCGTTTGTATAGACTGCATCTTTTCCAGAAGTTGTTCGGAGTTTGAGACTGACAGATGATATCCCATTTAATTTGTGGGGTGAAGCCTTTATTTTTAAGTCTCCAATAGTGCATAGATAGAGCAGTTTGCTGTATTAAGGAAGTATTGCAGAAGAAATGTAGAGTCTCTGTTTCCAACTCCCAGCGGATATCCAGATGTATAATTTTTATCATTAATATTATCTTTTGGAAAGATGTTAGCTTGGAATACCACATTTTCCGAATTGCAGATACCTCCAACTGGGCAGTTGGTTCCGCTTCTACAATTACAAGAGGGATTGTTTTCTGGTATATTGCCGCCATAAAAAGATTTTAATTTTTGGTTGTTATGTGAGTCAATAATATTATGTATGTTGTTAGTGCAGGAATAACAAATTTTTAGAGTTTTTCTATTGACACATTTTGTAGAGGGTAGTTATTATTATATATATATATATATATATATATATATATATATATATATATATATATATATATACACACACACACACATACATATATATATATATATATATATATATATATATATATATATATATATATATATATATAGGTCAGATGAATAAATTGACGTCTAATTTACGCAAAATGAAAATAATACTGACATCACATTTTAACAGCTATATTTACCAAAATTACACAAAAATATCTTGAAATATTAAAAAGTAAATTTATTCAATAAAATCACCATTGGCTTCAAGCACTACATCCAGTCGACTTCTCTTGAAACTCTTCTGGGCGGCCTCTTTGTTTAAGTTGGTGAATGCTGTCATAATCCTTGCCTTCAGTTCATATTTGGTGTTACAAGGAGTTTTGTTGGTCTTTCGCTCAACTGCACCCCACTCATAATAAACAAGGAGATTGCAATCTGGTGAGTTATGTAGCCAGGTGTAAGGGGTGATGTGGTTGCAGAAATTGTCAAACAGCCACGATTGGTTTCTACTATTTGTTTGGCATGGTGTAGAGTCCTATTCCAGCAGCCACTCTCTTGACCCATGGTGCTCTTTTTCTCATAGACGGTGCCCAACTGACCCTACTATACTGTGCAGTCGACAAAATCAAAGGCAAACAACGCGCATGTCATGCATGAAATTAAAATATAAAGTTGCGATAATTTACCCATCGCACCATACGAATAAAATTTGTCACTTATCGGTGTTATATTCAAATTCGCTTCAGAGTTTTGAAGATGAACCTTTTGGTAATCATTCAGTCCACTCATCATTATATATATATATATATATATATATATATATATATATATATATATATAAAATATTATCAGTATGATGATTTTCTTTCGTCTTTTAATGATAATTATCAGACGATAAAAAAGAATTTACATAAAATAAATAGACAAAACTTGTCTATATTATTTAATGAAACATGCATAAATGAAAAAATGCTGCCTAAATACACACAATTTAAATGACATTATCCAGCAGCCCACCAAACGATCAACACATGGAATTATGTAGCCTTATGAAAAGGCAAATTGAAATAGCCAACGAAAAATTGAACATCTTTAACAACAACAAACAGGACATCTATTGTTTTGTCCATGTATTGTTGAATATATTGTAATGTAATTTTCATCTTTGATAATGGCATATGTAAGCCGAAAGCTTAGATAGGTTTAAAAATATGTATCAATATGGTGATTTTCTTTCGTCTTTTAATGATAATGTTATTAAGCTTATCAGACGATATGAAAAATAAAAAGAATTTACATAAAATTAATAGACAAAACTTGTCTATATTATTTAATGAAACATGCATGCATATATATATATATATATATATATATATATATATATATATATATATATATACCTTAATAATAAAACGCTATTTTTTCAGAAGAAATATATATGCTCAGCATAATCTCTAACAGGCATAACTTTTAGTTCGTGATTATATAGATTAAACATTATGGATTGAAAATTTCAGATCAAAATTTAGAAATACTTTGCTGTATTTTAAAACTAATTTAAATTTACTGGATGGAGTTTTTTTTCTAAAAATGGTTGTTTATCGACCTTTTTTCGTCGTCTTTCATGGCAATGTAATTCACTTTATTAAAAATTCCTCCAAAAATAAAATATAACTTTTCTGAAATTTTATTTGAGGAATATTCGCTGATTTTAAGTTTAATTAATCTGATTTCAAACAAATAGTATTTACTTTAAGTTTAAAATATAGCAGAAATGCATTTTTAACCCGACAGTACATGTGTTTTTAGCCCAACTTGTTGACAGTCTGATGACAGATCTAATAATGTTCTACGGAGACTTTATCTGTAAAATATAATTTATTAAAATGACCTTAGCGCCATTTTTATATAATTTTTAAGTAATCCAATGTTTTATTGAATTTTAGAAATGTCGAATTTAAATTTACTATTGATATTGCTATTATTTTCTAATAAAATCGTGTATGATCACCCGTACGTTTATACACATACAAAAAAAATCAAAATTCTATTAAAAATATTGGTGTTTGATGAGTTAAGCTTTTCCATTTATTATTATTAAATATAGTTTTCAATTAATAATAATATCGTCTAAAAGGCTGAAATTAATAAAGAATTTTAAAAGATATAAAACTTGATAATTTTTCTAATTAGAATTTTAAAAAAGTAGGAAAAATTCTTGTAAAATTCATTATTCTTCGAGAAATCTTTTTTTCTTAAGACAATAGTCTCCTTAATATATTTTATTTATAAAAGCAAGTAAAAGCTTTTTTAATTAATGTCATAGTTTTATTGCATTTTTTATTTTACTATTCAGAGCACATTTTCATTACATGAGGTTTCTTTTTGACAAAAACAAATTGATGATTTAAATTCTTCAAGGACTCCTGCTTTTAACTAATATAAATATGAAGAGGCTGAAATTTTAATTTCTAGAAATTTCATAAAATTAAGTAAGTGTGAGTAACAGATAAAAAAAATATTTTTATGAAAGAATTCTTAAAAAAATAAAATTCAAAAATAATTTCATTCATTTGTGAATAAGTCCAGAAAATTTAATTAAAATCCAACAATTATTTGATTTTTCCAAGAATTCCCAAAACAACGTGTTTTTAACGGTAAAAAATTCCCTATCCCTATATATATGGCCCACACGCTGACGCAAGAAAAACAAGATTTTTTACCAAAATTTTGAACGTGCTAGAAAGGATTCAAAAATGTAATCAAATAATCAAAAATACTTTGAGACTGACCGTTCCGTAATTTAAATTTTGTTAAATATATCGTTTTGTTTTGTTTTTTGTCATTTTTACAGTAAAATTCCCCCTGAACAAAGCCCGTAGGCCACTCGGCTTAGAGGGTTACGTTAACTGGTAGTTTATACGTATAAGATGGGATCTTATAATGGTTGGCTCTAAACTTGAACAGGTTAAGATTGTAGTGATCGGAGAAACATCCTCTTGGGAGTATGTTACACAGAGTAGTGGTTCCCGGGAAAAAACTGGCTGAGTGGAACAATTGCCATCCAAGACACCTTGGATGGCAACTGGTCTACGAGACTGACAACTTTTAAATTTTTTGTAGTAGATAGTTAATTCGATATTTTTATTTGGGTTAATTGAGGTAGTGTATTTCTTTATAATATTTCTAAGTGAAGATTCATCTTGTTTGTAGTTAAAGTGCATTTGGTTTTTGTAGAAAATATTTGTTATTTTTTGACTGTACGTTCACTATCGTTGTTATTTACTATATATATATATATATATATATATATATATATATATATATATATATATATATATATATATATATATATATATATATATATAATTTTTTTTCAGTGGAGTAGTGGATAGCGGCTCAGAGGAATTAGAAAGACGAGTTTGAATTCAGTCGAATCCATTACATTCACTTACGTGCTAATACCTTTGTGAAAGGAGGTATGTATCCTGTTCTTCTCCCTCCAGCTATGGGTGAATAGCAGGGCAGACAGGGTTCTATAGCCTTGGATGGCAACTGGTCTAGGAGAAGGATAACTCTGAATTCAAAACCTGCGGAGGGTGTTTCGGGGACCTTGTGGCACGCGGTGCACCAGGTCTTTGTATTCATCCCTTCAAAAAGTGAGGTTGCTTCTGCACAAAGCCTTCACCGCTATAATCAAATCATATCGGCCCAACCAAGTATTCCTTCGAAGAACACTCTGGTCTTTAGTCATTTGTTCGAATTTTAGGAATTGGGTCGAGAACATGTCAGCACTCCTACGTATATTGCTGCGATGTTTTCGTCAAAATAAGTAAATAAATAAATAATAATAATTTAGGTCAGTTTATTGCAAAAAAAGAGTGAATAAAAATCAAAAAGAAAACTGATTATATCATTT